TTTTTTTTTTTTTTTTTGAGAGAGAGAGAGAAAGTGCTCAGGAGCATTGGGGGGAGGGGCAGAGAGAGAGGAAGAGAATCTTCAGCAGACCCCTGCTGAGCACAGAACCCACCACCCTGAGATCATGACCTGAGCCAAAATCAAAAGTTGGAAGCTTAACCGACTGAGCCACCCAGGCGGCCCTGCATCTTCTTCTGAGGCTGAATGGAAGTGGGGGTGTTGCAACACCCTTTGGAGGCTTCAAGTCCAAGGAGGAAGGGGATCCCCGCCCTGTAAAGATTCTGTTGGGTTCCGCCCAGCTGATGACCCAGCCCTCACCTTGGTTCAGGTGTGGACCGTGGCTCCATCGTGGACGTACTGACCAACAGGAGCAGAGAGCAAAGGCAGCTCATCTCTCGAGCCTTCCAGGAGCGCACCCAACAGGTGAGGCCGCTGACTTCCCAGGAGCAGTGGACTGGGGTGAGCAGCCCCCTGGAAGACTTGGAGTACAGCAATAGCAGCTGAGAGGGGGATGGCTGGTGCTTCTGGCCTTAGGAAAAAACCGGCCAGATGTTCCCAAAGCTCCCCACACATCTAGGGCCCTCCCCATGGTGCCCGCTCCTCTGCCATGGGGACCTTTTATTGTAGGACCTGCTGAAGTCCCTGCAGGCAGCACTCTCTGGCAACCTCGAGAGGACTGTGATGGCTTTGCTGCAGCCTGCAGCCCAGTTCGATGCCCAGGAATTGAGGACAGCCTTGAAGGTACCAGCAGAGGAGGCTCGCTGGGTGTCTAGGAAGTGAGGACACCACTGAGGGGAGGAGAGGGTTGACTGATTTGCCTTTGCCCACTCCAGAGGAGTCGACTTGGCAGGGGCCCCCTTTAAACAGCCCATAATGACCCTTAAAGGACAAGTGGTCGGCCTCTGCTCTCTGCCATCCTAATGACATGGCCCAGTGTCAGAGTGGCCTCCCAATTTCTTGTAGAACTCAGGTTCTGCTGAGGATGTGGCCGTGGAAATTCTTGCCACCCGAAGCCCAGCCCAGCTGCAGGAGTGCCTGACGGTCTACAAACATAGTAAGAGCACGTAAGGAGAGGGGAAAGGGATGGCAGGACAGCGCCCACTCTCTGGCACTCCCTACAGGCAAGCCCTCTGGGAACCTGTCTGCCCCAGCTCTGTTCCCTTGGGGTCTTCCCCCCACTCTTGCCAGTTCTCAGTCTCCCCCAGGGCGAGAGCCCAATGTGATCATTTCCTTTCTTTTTTTTTTTTTTTTTTTAAGATTTTATTTATTGAGCGAGATAGTGATAAAGAGAGAGCATGAGGGCGCCTGGGTGGCTCAGATGGTTAAGCGTCTGC